AGTGAGGGTTTGCAGTGAGATGAGTGAGTGTTTGCAGTGAGCGTTTGCAGTGAGATGAGTGAGTGTTTGCAGAGAGATGAGTGAGTGTTTGCAGAGAGATGAGTGAGTGAGCTGAGTGTTTGCAGTGAGATGAGTGTGTGAGGGTTTGCAGTGAGATGAGTGCATAAGCTGAGTGTTTGCAGTGAGATGAGTGAGTGTTTGTAGTGAGATGAGTGTGTTTGGAGTGAGATGTGTTTGTGAAAAGTGAAAGTTTGCTTGTTGAGTGAAAGTGAAAAGTTTGCTTGCAGCGAGACAGTTTGGTCTTTGCAGTGAGGAGTGTGCTCCTCTCTCTGAATCTTTGCGTAACTCCACAGGTCGGCTCGTTCTTCATGATAAACCTGTGGGGAGGGTGGGGATTGGATGGAAGGATGAATGGATGGATGCATGCAGCTCTAAGCTCTTCTCTCACTGCACTACAGATGGAGCTGCACCTGCCGCCTCAGCAGCCAATCAGGAGACAGAGGAAGAGGTGGCCAATGAGACAGAGAGGTGCAAAAGGGCAGAGGGGGCGTGTCGGGGGCAGAGCCGAGAGCTGTGGATGGAGATGAGGGTCAAACTGTGGAGCATCGTGGAGAGTAAATACTTCAACAGAGGAATCATGGTGGCCATCCTCATCAACACCATCAGCATGGGCATAGAGCATCATCAGCAGGTCAAACACACACACACACACACACACACACACACACACGTCTCATAGATGCAGTGTTTTTTCTATAGATGTAATGATATTAGTTAAAGCCCAACCTATTTACCTGCTGATATCAAGTGATTTGGCTGTCCATGTGTTCTTTCAGTGATTCTTGAATGAGCTGAAGAACATGAGGATGAGTTGATGAGAATCTCTGTGTCTCATCATTGTTTCTGTTCATTATTTCAGTTAATGAGCTGTTTCATGTTCTCATTCTGTGTGTGTGTTCAGCCGGAGGAGCTCACTAATGTTCTGGAGATCTGTAACATCGTCTTCACCAGTATGTTTGCTCTGGAAATGATTCTCAAGCTCACAGCATTCGGCTTCTTTAATTACCTGCGCAATCCGTACAACATCTTTGATGGGATCATTGTGATCATCAGGTAATTGCCAGTGAAACACCTAATGCTTTTCTGTTACATTGAAAGTATTTTTAAGGGTTTAATACACCTTAAACCTGTGCACTCATGTAGAAGTTTGGGGTTGGTAAGAGTTTGTAATGTTTCTGAAAGAAGTCTCTTCTGCTCGGCAAGGCTGCATTTATTTGATCAAAATTACAGTAAAAACAGTGAAGTATTATTCCAATTTAAAATAGCTGTTTTCTATGTGAATATCTGTTAAACTGTAATTTATTTATGTGATGCGCAGCTGAATTGTCAGCATCATTACTCCAGTCTTCAGTGTCACATGATCTTCAGAAATCATTCTAATATACTGATTTGCTGCTCAAGAAACATTTCTGATTATTAGCAATGTTGGAAACAGTTGTGCTGCACAATATTTTTGTGGAAACAGTGATGCATTTTATTTTTCAGGATTCCCAGATGAATAGAAAGTCTGTGTTTGGTCGTCATAGCGACACAGTTTTCAGAGACCAAACAGCGTGAGCATCAGCTGATGCAGGAGCAGCGAGCCACCTGTCTGTCCTCTAGCACGCTGGCCTCGCTGGTCGAACCCAGCGACTGCTACGAAGAGATCTTCCAGCTCGTCTGCCATGTCCTCCACAAGGCTCGCAGACGCACTGCTGCCTTTTTCAGGATGCTCTGCCGCAAACCACCGGAGCAGATGCATATGAAAACAAACATCAACGGAGGAGAAAAGCGCTTCCAACAACATGGTGAGGAGGAGAGGGGGGGGGTTGGATGGCAGAATGAATGGATGGATGCATGCAGCGCTGAGCTCTTCTTTCACTGCACTACAGATGGAGCCACACCTTCCGCCTCAGCAGCCAATCAGGAGACAGAGGAGGAGGCAGCCGAGGAGAAAGACAGGTGCATGAGGGCAGAGGGGGCGTGTCGGAGGCGGAGCAGAGAGCTGTGGATGGAGATGAGGGTCAAACTGCAGGGCATCGTGGAGAGTAAATACTTCAACAGAGGAATCATGGTGGCCATCCTCATCAACACCATCAGCATGGGCATAGAGCATCATCAGCAGGTCAAACACACACACACACACACACACACACACACACACGTCTCATAGATGCAGTGTTTTTTCTATAGATGTAATGATATTAGTTAAAGCCCAACCTATTTACCTGCTGATATCAAGTGATTTGGCTGTCCATGTGTTCTTTCAGTGATTCTTGAATGAGCTGAAGAACATGAGGATGAGTTGATGAGAATCTCTGTGTCTCATCATTGTTTCTGTTCATTATTTCAGTTAATGAGCTGTTTCATGTTCTCATTCTGTGTGTGTGTTCAGCCGGAGGAGCTCACTAATGTTCTGGAGATCTGTAACATCGTCTTCACCAGTATGTTTGCTCTGGAAATGATTCTCAAGCTCACAGCATTCGGCTTCTTTAATTACCTGCGCAATCCGTACAACATCTTTGATGGGATCATTGTGATCATCAGGTAATTGCCAGTGAAACACCTAATGCTTTTCTGTTACATTGAAAGTATTTTTAAGGGTTTAATACACCTTAAACCTGTGCACTCATGTAGAAGTTTGGGGTTGGTAAGAGTTTGTAATGTTTCTGAAAGAAGTCTCTTCTGCTCGGCAAGGCTGCATTTATTTGATCAAAATTACAGTAAAAACAGTGAAGTATTATTCCAATTTAAAATAGCTGTTTTCTATGTGAATATCTGTTAAACTGTAATTTATTTATGTGATGCGCAGCTGAATTGTCAGCATCATTACTCCAGTCTTCAGTGTCACATGATCTTCAGAAATCATTCTAATATACTGATTTGCTGCTCAAGAAACATTTCTGATTATTAGCAATGTTGGAAACAGTTGTGCTGCACAATATTTTTGTGGAAACAGTGATGCATTTTATTTTTCAGGATTCCCAGATGAATAGAAAGTTTAAAAGAACAGCATTTATTTAAAATAAATGTTTTTTTAACATTATAAACATCTTCTTTGTCACTTTTGATCAATTCGATGCATCCTTGATAAATAAAAGTGCAAATCTTACTTCAGCTCAACTCTCAGTCTTAGTTTGTATATCAACAAGCAAACATAATCGTGTTTTTATCAACACACTTACCTGTAGTTTTGAAAATGCAGGTTCAAAATGAAATTTTACGTGTTACCATGAGATCTGTGTGATAGAATAATTTCCCTGAACTTCAACAAAACAAACTGACTACTTGAATAACAGATGTTTGCGCATAAGAATAGAAGTGCGTTCAGTAATGGCCGTCCCAATCGCAGCGTGTGTGAGATCGTGGGTCAGTCTGACGGCGGTCTCTCGGTGCTCCGCACCTTCCGCTTGCTGCGGGTCCTGAAGCTGGTTCGGTTCATGCCGGCGCTGCGCAGACAGCTGGTGGTTCTGATGAAGACCATGGACAATGTGGCCACATTCTGCATGCTGCTGATGCTCTTCATCTTCATCTTCAGGTGTGTGTGTCAGTTTGAGACTAATGGTACCACACTACTGGAGTATTTTTGAATCACACGTCTCTCTCTGTGTGTGTGCAGTATTTTGGGAATGCATATATTCGGCTGCAAGTTCAGTCTGAAGACAGACACTGGAGACACGGTCCCGGACAGAAAGAACTTTGACTCTCTGCTGTGGGCGATCGTCACTGTGTTTCAGGTAAAGAGAGAGAGGCGTCCCACACACACACACACACACACACACACACACACACACACACACACTCTCTCACACACACACACACACTCTC